TTTTCGTATTAAATAATTTTTATTTGCCAGTTAGTTTTCACTTAGTTTCTAACTTACATTAAGAGCATTGCTATTGCCCCTCTTGCAGCGTACCGAGGACCGGTGGCGGCAGCGCTGTCGGCGACGGCGTTGTTGTTGTTGACGGCAGCAAGCGGCAACATAGCGATGACCAGCAATGCAAGCGAGCAAAAAAACACCATCTCGGTCTTTCCCGGACTTAGGAGCATCTGGATACCAAGTTCGGTTATTCTAGCTCTTATACTTTCTGAGATCCTTGCGTTCATACAGACGGACAGACAGAAAGTCGACTTTGTAGTACTCTGTACATATGTATGTGTTGAATAAATATGCGTGTCTATGCGTGTTTGTTCGCCTGTGTATGTCTTATGTGCCTGTGCAAAGCAGCAACAACAACTACAGTTGCGTGCAGTGCATGGGCAAAATGAAATATATGGCTATACCTTTCTGTTAAGTCCACCTTTCATAATGACTTGGCATACGGACTCACTATTACTAACTGGAGAGATTCCCCAAAAGCCAATGAAAAATTCCAAGAAATACGGGAGTTATGGAAAATTAGTGATTGCGAGGGAGAGGTGGGCGGAAGGGAAAATCCAAAATACACATTTTCTGCAGATTCATATAAGGCACCTGCAACTTAAACTTGGTGTCCTAGGTCTTGTAGTCTCCGAAATATAGCTGATTATACGAATGGAAAATCGGGGAATCCCCCATAAGGCGGAAGTGAGGGGGAATATAAAAAAATAAAACAAACTTGCGTACACACATAAGGCATCCTTATGTAAATACTTTCTGGTGTCGGAGATGCTTCTTTCTTCCTGTTACATACTTCGTACAAACCAAACACAAATATACTCTCTTTATACCCTGTACGCAAAGGGTGAAAGAAAATACTAGATGCTGTTTTAGATTAGGATAGTTTAAGAGAAATATTTGGATTTTAGTTTAGGGCGAAAAGAGAGCGCGAGAGCGGCCGTTTGCGGACGTCGCCTCGCGCCCTTTTTTCGCCGCCTTAGGCTTAGTTTAGCATGTAAGCCGAATTTTGAAGTTAGTTGTAAAATAGAACTAAATAGAAGCACAATTTCCACCGAATCGTTCGTAATTTTCCGCATAAAAGTAGTTAAAAAGCAAGCGTCCCATTTTCTTTGTTCTTATACAATTTATATAAATTCATATAAATTTTCATTGGCGCCCGAGCAGGGACCTGCTTGTTTTTTTTTAATTAAAAACTTTAATTTGTGCGGAACCGCGTCGGTCGTGTTGTTGTTGCTGCACTGGGGATTGTGTTGTGTTGCTGCCACGTCAACTGGATTATTGGAGGATGAGTCAAGTCGACCAAAGGGAAGTTCCTGAGCCAAAGTCGACTTCACAGGTACTGTGCTAAAGTTTGAAAGTGAAATTTAACCAGCGAATTGCTGGTTTTCAGTTTTCGTTTCGAACAGGGTTTCTCAAAACCAAGAGTGGTCCGAGAATGCAACGTGGCGACATGTCCCAACGAAATCCAACCCAGCAGACATCGTGTCCAGAGGATGTAATGTAGACGAGTTGCGTAGCTCCATTTGGTTGACAGGGCCAGCCTTCCTCATGGGAACGGAAGAAAATTGGCCTGTGAATGCTCACTTCGAGCCGCCTAAAAATTCAGCTGCCCTGGAAATTCGTAAGTCTGCTGTAGTTTTACTCACAGATCGGCAAGCCAATTACATTCTCAAAGTTATCGAAAGCTACTCGTCACATTCAAAATTGCTGAGGGTGTTCGTTTGCGTTTTTCGATTTATACAAAGGTGCAGAAAGGTCTCGAAGCCCTTTGACCTTATAGTCAAGCCAAGCGAACTCAATTTGGTATTCAACAAAATTGTTCAAGTCATCCAGAACAATGAGTTCAGTGACGAAATTGACAAGGTTCGAAAAAAGAGAACACTTAACGCTAACTTACAGCGTCTGAGTCCATTTCTACATGAGTTTAGAGAAGGCGGTTTCTTGTTTTCCTTGCTGAGAGTGGGGGGAAGATTATTAAATGCTCCTATCCCGTATGAAGCCAAGTTTCCGTTGTTGCTTTCTAAAAAGTCGCAATTCATAAGATCGTACGTATCTTATTTGCATGTGTCAAATTGCCATGCTGGCCCTAGATCGCTGGTGAGCCTGCTTCGTGAGCAAGTTTGGCTGGTTAACGCTCAGGAAGTGTGTCGCCGAACAGTACGTTCGTGCATCCTCTGCTTCAAATGGAAGCCCCGGTTGGCCTCCCAAGTAATGGGAAATCTTCCGGCAGACAGGCTCCAGCCGTTCCACCCGGTCGAAGTATGTGGTGTTGATTTTTGTGGCCCTATAAGCACAACGCTCCGCATCCGTGGCAAACCACCGTACAAGTCGAACGTGGCTCTTTTCGTTTGTTTTGCCTCAAAAGCGGTTACTTAGAGATTGTGTCAGATCTAACCACTGATGCTTTTCTCTTGGCTTTTGAAAGGTTCGTCGGCAGGAAAGGCGTCCCTCGCAAAGTTTACTGCGACAACGCAACGAACTTCGTGGGAGCCGACAGGAAGCTGCAGGAGTTCCGAGCGAGATGGGAGAAGGAGGCGGAAGGCGTACGTGAATTCGCATCAAGAAAAGGATGCGAGTTTGCGTACATACCACCCAGAGCACCTCACTTCGGCGGTCTATGGGAGGCAGGTGTCAAGTCTGCAAAGCACCTGTTCCTACGGACGGTGGGCAATGCGCTCCTAACCGCAGAAGAGCTCGGAACACTCCTGGCGAGCGTCGAGGCGGTGCTGAACTCTCGGCCACTGGGACCACTCAGCGCGGACCCCAGCGACGGCGAGGCGCTAACCCCGGGCCACTTTCTAATCGGGCGGCCTCTTCTGGCGACTCCAGCTCCACCGCTCCCGGACATCGACAGCCAAACCTGCTTAAGGCGATGGCGCAATGCCTCGTGTCTCAAGCACAGGTTTTGGCAGCGATAGTCCCGGGAGTACATTTCGAGCCTCCAGGTGCGAGCGAAGTGGTTCCAGGAGGAACCCAACGTCGTCGTGTGACAAATCGTCGTGGTGGCCGAAGACATCGTGCCGCCACAAAAGTGGGTACTTGGCAGGGACACCACAACTCACGCCGGGACAGACGGGAAGGTGCGGGTGGTCGACGTCGCCACGAGTAGCGGCAATCTTCGAAGGGCGATTCACCGGCTGGCGCCATTGCCCGTTGAAGGACGATGTCCCTCCAAGGGGGCCGGTGTTGGCGCAGATGCTGTTTTAGATTAGGATAGTTTAAGAGAAATATTTGAATTTTAGTTTAGGGCGAAAAGAGAGCGCGAGAGCGGCCGTTTGCGGACGTCGCCTCGTGCCCTTTTTTCGCCGCCTTAGGCTTAGTTTAGCATGTAAGCCGAATTTTGAAGTTAGTTGTAAAATAGAACTAAATAGAAGCACAATTGCCACCGAATCGTTCGTAATTTTCCGCATAAAAGTAGTTAAAAAGCAAGCGTCCCATTTTCTTTGTTTTTATACAATTTATATAAATTCATATAAATTTTCAGCTTGTATCCCAATGTTTTTTTTTTTCAGGGACCGCAAATAATGATTATTTTGTTTTTTTTTTTTTAAACGAAAAAATCATTCACTTATAGTAACTTTTGGAATGCGAGGAATTTACTGTCATCCTTTTTAAGGAATTTCTATGTATTTACACCATGATTTATACATTTTAATTTGTATTCATTCGCTCACAGTTTAATGATTAATTTTGAGTTTTACTTTAAAAATTAACCAATAATCATTATTGATGAGCAAAAAAATAAAACCTCTAAAATAATGATTATTCTTTGAGTTTTATTTTTTTGATCAAAAATAAAACTCAAGCTGAAATTTTGTCTGTTTCATAAGGATTAAGGACAAAATTTATATATATCCTTAATCAGTGAGTCAAGGGGAAAATTTTTAATTAACTAAATAATTAATTTATTAATTAATTATTTTTAAAATCACAAATGCGAATGTATGTAACAGGCAGAATTATATTCAATGCAAGTGATTGTCGAATGGGCATTTTCTGCCCTTAAATTGGTGTTATCGGATCTAAGGTGCAACCTTACGCCGTACTCATTACAAAAAATATTTTTTGTAAAATTAAATAATTAATAGTTAAAGGTAAAATTTAATAAAATAAAAATAAAATTTAAAAAAATTAATTTTTTTTCTGAATTAAAAAAAAAATTAATTAACTAAAAATGTTGCACTTGACTCACTGATAAAGGATATGTATAAATTTTGTCCTTAATCCTTATGAAACACACAAAATTTCAGCTTGAGTTTTATTTTTGATAAAAAAAATAAAACTCAAAGAATAATCATTATTTTAGAGGTTTTATTTTTTTGCTCATCAATAATGATTATTGGTTAATTTTTAAAGTAAAACTCAAAATTAATCATTAAACTGTGAGCGAATGAATACAAATTAAAATGTATAAATCATGGTGTAAATACATAGAAATTCAGCTTGAGTTTTATTTTTGATCAAAAAAATAAAACTCAAAGAATAATCATTATTTTATAAGTTTTATTTTTATGCTCATCAATAATGATTATTGGTTAATTTTTAAAGTAAAACTCATAATTAATCATTAAATTGTGAGCGAATTAATAAAATTAAAAAATAATCATTATTTTGTAATTTTTTTAATAACACATAATGATTACAGTCCCTGTGTTTTTTAATTGGAAAAAGTTCTTTGTTAGTGTTTTTAATCAAAACTCCTGGAAAAACAACCGAGATTGGGACAAAGAATTGGTTTTGAGGCGAAACTTGGGCGGAAGAGATTTCTGTGCCGCCCCTGGCTTAGTTATACAAGTAGTTATGTCAGTGTGGAGTCTGTTTTTAAACGTGTGACTGATATCATTTTATCACATATGTGATTTGTGACTTTTAAATACTAGTTACAAATCACAGATGTGGTATTTTAGCTCATCCCTAAGGTTGCTTATCCCTAAGGTACGAATTGTCATAGATTTCGTTTTACTCAGCTAAGATTAAGGTTCATTTTTATTGTATTATAGTACTACATTTAATAAAAAATTATTAATCTTTGATTTTTTTTTTAGCCATGAGCGCTGCTGAAGTGATAAAAATCAATAAGCCTGAAGATCTGAGCTTCGAAAAATGTACATAAGTATAGAAATATGGATATTGCAAATATACATATATGTACATACATACATATAGTAGTTTAATACCATAATGTGCTCTTTATTTCAGGTCCTGAAAGTGCCGAGGAAACCGAAAAACGGTTGGAAATAGAAAAATTTATAAAACAAGACAAGAGTCAAGGCAGATTAATCGAGCTTCGAAAGCTTGCTATATCTGAATTCGGCCTAGTCAATGATGAACTACGACAAATTTTGTGGCCGCAGCTAGCAGGAATAGATTCTGAATCACTAGAACGTGTCCCCAACCTTCATGAATTACAAGCACACCCTGAGTATCACCAAGTTGTGCTGGACGTTAATCGATCGTTGAAACGCTTTCCTCCGGGAATTCCTTACGATCAACGCATAGCCTTACAAGATCAACTCACGGTACTCATACTGCGAGTCATTAAAAAGTATCCAAACTTGCGCTACTATCAAGGCTATCACGATGTTGCAGTTACATTTTTATTAGTTGTTGGCGAAGAAGTTGCCTATGCAATTATGGAGCAGCTTTCGACCACTCACTTTTCCGAATGCATGCAAGAAACAATGGAGGCGACACAAAGGCGCTTAATGTTCATTTGGCCTGTTGTTAATTTTGAAAATTCAGAACTATTTCAGTTTTTGCGTAGTTCTTCAGTGGGAACACTGTTTGCATTGCCGTGGTACTTGACTTGGTTTGGACACAGTTTAAATTCATACAAAGCTGTTGTACGTCTGTATGACTACTTTTTAGCTTCACCTGTGTATTCACCAATTTTTGTGACTGCATCAATATTATTGCATCGCGCGGAAGAAATACTAAAAGAAGACTGTGATATGGCATCCGTGCACTGCCTTTTATCAAAGGTTAGCAAACCAAGTTTTATGATCCAATGTTTTCTGTTCATCATTGCTTATTTTCTGATCAGCTTCCAGAAGATTTGCCATTTGAGGATCTGCTGAAAACATCTAGTAAACTATATGAGAGATACAGCTTGACAGTAATAGAGAAGGAAGTGGAAAAACTCATTTGGCAAGAGTAAGAACACATTTCGAAATTTACAATTGTAAATATATCTGTATTTGTTATAAACTGTAGAAAAAAACAACGTCAATTGGAAGATCAGCTGATTTTGGACCGTCGTAAAAAAGTGGTACGATCTACATCCTCTAATAAGGGCTCTGCATTGAGACATTGGTTGCCGCGTTTCTTTACACCAAGGTCAATGATTGTGACAACTGCTTTATCCATTGTAGTTGGCATATGCGCTTTTTACTACAAAAATCAGTATCCGGGCATCAGCTGAGTAATTGAGAATCTTAATCCTACACTATGTTTTGCGCACCGTTGTTCCATCCAAACAAAATGGAGCTTAATGGTTGGCTTTTCCTTTTATTAATAACATTGTATTTAGCAATATTATAAGTCCGTAAAATTGTTAAATACATAATTAGTGGAATTTTTAACATGCTAAGTATAAGCGACCCGATCAGAATGCTAGTCGTGTTTATGGTTTTGTATTTTTGTGTGTATTAATATGCATGGATAAAAAGAATAAAAAAAGGCGTAATTGATCCATTTACCCTGTTACCTACTTGTATTAAACGAAATTTCACGTGTCCAGATTCACTTTCATATATATACTAACAGATCTTGCCCGTCATTGCCTGGCTTCTCACATTGAGCTAATTTCCAAATAATCGGTATTGTTTATGAATTAATTGTCAGGGCAATGAATAAAACAAATGAGAAATTTTTGCCTAACTCAAGTAATCTCAACAATATTTGGTTAACCTATGCAACTGATATATGTACATACAAGGTCCAATTCAAAAGTTCCAGGACTTTTATTAAAAAACGAAAACAATGTTTTTTTTTTTTTTTTTTTTGAAAAATTTATTGGTCGCCTTCAAAATAGTCTCCTTCCGCCTGAATACAACGTTTTGCACGTTCAAGAAGGTGATCGAACGACTTTTTTAGGTCATTTGTCGGTATAGCGTTGAGGATGGCGGTCGCCGCCTGTTGGATGACATCAACGTCAGCATAGCGGTTTCCTTTCATGGCCAAATGTAGTTTTCCGAAAAGGTAGAAGTCGCACGGTGCCATATCAGGTGAATACGGCGAGTGGTTAATGGTTAAAATGTGATTTTTGGTCAAATAATCGGTCGGATTCTCAGCAATTTTTGGTCGTCAGTCAATTTGCGCGGAACAAATCGTGCACACACCTTTCGTAAGCCCAAATGTTCCGTCAAAATGCGATAAATCGATGTTTTGGATATGTCTAATTCCATTTCTATTAATTTCAATGATGATTTCGCTGATTTTTGATGAATTCACGCACAGTTTCGATGGAATTTTCGGTGATTACGAATTTTGATTGGCCCACATGTTGATCGTCATTTATGTCCTCACAACCACTTTGAAAATGTTGAAACCACTCGTGCACTCTGCTACGGGATAGGCAATCATCGCCATAAACTTGTTTCATCAATTTCGGTAAAAGTTTTACCAATTTTAAAACAAAATTTAATGTTGGCTCTTTTTTTCGAAGCTCATTTTCCGACCGATAACACAAACATGCTGACACTTAAAACGCAATAACTTCACTTCCAATCGATGAAATGTAATGAAATTCTCACTGGACAATCCATAAAGATAGCAGATTCTAACGCACCAGTCGACATATAGATAGCGCCACCAGGCGGCGCTAGATTCAAAAATTCCTGTTTATTATGGAACGCACCTTGTATGTATATACATTTGTATCAACAAACCAAATAGATAAGCCATCTAATTTCCTTAAGCCAATGCGGGCATGAATGAAAAGATATAATAAAGTGAAAGACCTAGGAACAATTTTATTTTTTATACTCTGTACATGAAATGTACAGAAATATATTAGGTTTGCGGGAGCTGAAAAATGTAACAGAAGAAGGCGATCTAGCCCTGTCTGTCTGTCTGTCCGTCCGTATGAACACCTGGATCTCAGAGACTATAAGAAATTTTGCACAAAGATGCCTTATGTGTGTATTCTATATGAGTTTGTTTTATTTTTTTTGATTTTCCCCCCCCACTTCCCCCCTATGGGGGTTTTCCCGATTTTCCATTCGTATAACCTAGGAACACCAAATTTTAGTCCCAGGTGCCTTATGTGAATACGCAGAAAATGTATATTTTGGAATTTCCCTACCTCCCCCCTCTACGCGCTTTTACCGGGAGAGGTAAAAGCGATCAATTTTTTTTTTATTTTCTTAATTTTTTTTTATTTTCTATAATTATTGTAAACATATGTACAGAGTATTTCAAAGTCGGGACACCCGACTTTAGCTTTTTTACTTGTTTAATTATGCTCTGCACCTAAAATATACAAGAGTATATTGTTGGAGCACCCTACTTAGCTTCTAAGCCTTTATTTTGCGCTCTCTATTGCGCCCTTTACTGCGCTCTCTGTGGTGCTCTCTTTGTACGTTTTTCTTGTGCTGGTCCGCTGACTTATAGCGGCAGCAGGCAAAATCACTTGTGAAGTAATACTCGCACATTAAACTTCGCTTTCTACATACTCCAAGCCATTAAAGCCATATTAATAATTGAAAAAATACCGCGTCTCATTTAATTACAATTGATTTTCGTTGTCAATCGCTAAAACGCTAGCAATTTTTAATTGCCGCCCGAGCAGGGACTTCGGTTTTCTTAAGATTATTTTCTCGTTTGTTTGCGGTCTTTGTGGTTTGGTTTTTGTGCGCGGTACGTGTGATTAGTGCCTCGTTTGATTTGGATCTGGTGTCGTTTGGATACCATATACATACATTTATTTGGATTTGGAGCTTGGTGCCTTTCTGGATACCATCAACTACAACTGCTCGTTTGGACTGTGGAGCTGCTGTTTGCCCTACTTGTGGTACTGTCGTTTGGTTTGGCTAATGGGTGATCGTCGCTCGGAATCCAGGGAAGTTTCGGTGGACTCTTTTGAGAGCTTACAGGTATTCTGTGTCAACAATTGAGCATAAAGCTCTAAAAAGTTTAATTGCTGCAAATTTGTGCAAGCGAAAGGTGTTTAAAACCTATTCACATACGTACATACATACATATGTATATATAGTACGTGTATGCTTATGCGGGCTCAATTTTTGGCACTTAAACTATTCTCTTGAACAACTTTACATGCACAAATACATAATCATACATATGTATGTACATACATACTCGCCAATAACCACATATTATATACATACATCATATACATACATTCCCCCGCTACCCGTTTGGATTAGCGTTGCCAACAAGCTTGCTTGCGGTAATCGACGCCTATTTTCTGAGGACAGCTGAGACTGCTTGCAGATTTCGTTGTTGTTTGTGCAGTCGCTTGGACTGCTACTTTGGTTGCGTGCATACTGTATTGAGTGCGTGTGTACGTAATCTGCGTGCATACGTAATCTGCGTGCATTTCAGCTTGTCTCTTGCTGTTTTGGCGCGTTGTTATTTGCGGTGGCGGTTAGGAAAGTTCGGTGTTAATTTTCTTTGATTTGCAATTTGTTTAGAGTTTATTTTGGTTATACTCTACCATGTTGGAATCTGAGAAGCAACAAGTAGTAGCTAAATCTAGCACTAAACTAGTACAATGCCTACAGAAATTTGATAAGGTTAGCGCTGATATTGCTCGTATGAAAACGGCATTTCAGTTAAAGACAATTTCGTTTGAACAAACAGAACTCGAGTGCCGTCTCGAGCTGTTGGAAGGTTACATAAAGAAAGCTATGGCGCTTCAGGCAGATTTGGATAGTCTCAACCCAAGTAACGATAGTAGAGGGCCACTAAAGGGTTTTGTGCATTTCAACTAAGGCGTTGTATGTCAAGGCAACGAAGCAAAAAGTTGAAAGTCAGACTTCTCATGACTGTTCTATGATGGCCAGTCAACGATCACAGTTACCCAAAATGCGGCTGCCTACATTCAGTGGAAAGCATGCCGAATTGTATGTGCTTATTTGAAAGTCTAGTTCATGACGATCCTTCGTTGACCAACGTCGAGAAGTTTAATCATTTGGTGTCGTGCTTGTCAGGTGAGGCTCTAGGAGTTGTGAAACCGTTCCAGTTAACGGACTGCAACTACTCGAAAGCCATTGCTAGCCTCAAGTCTGTGTACGACAACAAATGTTTAATATTTTTCGACACTATCTCGCAATTGTTTGACATCCCAAGTATGACCAAACCTAATGCGTCTAGTTTGCGGTCCATCATTGACACTGTTTCTGCCATTTATGCGTCTTTAGCTTCGTTGGCAAGTGAAAAGGAAATTTCGAACGCAATGATCATACATATGGTTATGGCCAAAGTTGATCATGTAACCAAATCTCGTTTTGAGGAACAGCTCGATTATGACAAGTTGCCTTCTTGGGCTGACTGCGCTAAGCAGTTAAACAGGCGTTACCAATATTTAGCGGCTGAAGAGACAACTCGGGTTCCAAATAAACCGCGAGTAGAACCTGCAAGAAATAGTAAAGCTTCGTTTTCTTGCACAAAGGGTCCTTCAAAACCGATTTCGGCGGATCACAACATTTATTCTTGCCCTTCCTTCGGTTCTTTATCTGTTATGCAGCGATTTGAGTTTGCTAAGACTCAAAAAATGTGCCTGAATTGTTTGAATGTGGGTCATATAGTTTCCAGCTGCGAAGCTTCCAAGTGTCGGGTGTGTTCAAAACCGCACCATTCGTTGTTGCACAGATACTCTGTAGCTGTGCCAAATTCACCCGCTCCACAAGCAGTTGCACCTCCAGAAGCGTACTTAGTGGCAGTGGTAAAAATAAAAGATAGATTCGGCCATTACCATCCTGCTCGTGTGTTACTTGATGGCGGCTCACAGTTGAACCTCATGACTGAGAATCTTGCGCAGCGCCTTCGTTTAAAGCGTAAAGACACAGCTGGGAGTATTGTAATGGCAGGTGGAACCACTACTGGTAGTAGGCACAAGGTGTCGCTAATATTCAATCTCGTTTGAATTCTCAGAGTTTTGGTACTGATTTTTGGGTTCTTAAATCCATATCTACTTATCAGCCTGGTAACTTTGTGCCCACATCGAATTGAAAAATACCCGCAAACCTTGAGTTGGCTGACCCAGAATTCTATAAGCCAGCCAAGGTTGATATTCTCCTAGGCGCTGAACTTTTTTACAAGTTATTATGCGTTGGGCAAATCGAGCTCAATTCTTGTCTTCCATTGTTGCAGAAGACATTGCTGGGATGGGTTTTTGCTGGTAGATATACAGGGCAAATACCTCCTCAACAATTCAGCGTTAACGTTGTCGCTCAAGTTAATGATTGTTCTCTCGACACCTTAGTTCAACGCTTTTGGGAACTCGATCGGAGCCCAAATGAGTCGAAGGCTGTGCGCCGGACAGCTGAACAAAGGGCCTGTGAAGCACACTTCACAAATTCAGTACAGTGCCTGTCTACAGGACATTTTCAATTCAAACTTCCGTTCAAACCCGATCCCACTATACTAGGCCTTTCCTTTCGAACTGCTGAAAGGCGGTTCCTACAACTTGAGCGTAAACTCACAAAAGATAAAACTCTCCATGATGAGCA